ATCTTGAAAAATTTCACAGAAATGTATTATGAAAAACTATGAAAGGATTTCATTTTTTTGCAACAAAATTAACGTTTTTATTTCATTTTTCCATGAATTGTTTGAAATTGCCTCAGTTAAGAGTCGAGATGCACCAAATTTGGCATTTTTTTTAAAGATTTATTTATTTGAAAAGCAGAGATACAGAGGGAGAGACTGAGAGATCTTCCCTCTGCTGGTTCACTTTCCAGATGGCCACAATGGCCAGGGCTGGGCCAGACCGAAACCAGGAGCTTCTTCTGGGTCTCCCACGTCGGAGCAGGGGCCCAAGCACTTGGGTCATCCTCCACTGCTTTCCTAGGCCATAGCAGAGAGCTGGATCAGAAGTGGAGCAGCTGGGACTTGGGCCGGTGCTCACGTGGGATGCTGGCTCTGTGAGGCAGTGGCTTATCCCCCGTTTGGCATCATTAATCTTTGTCATTTTAGCCACCCTGGTGAGAGATGGTATCTCATGGTTTTAATGCTTTAAGCTCCACAGTGGCTACGATGTTGGGCACTTTTTCAGGTACTTATTTGCCATTCACATTTGTGAATTATGTATTCCAATGTCTTCCAACTTAAAAATCATTTTTTAATTGAGTTGCAACAGCTCTAATGGATTTTGGATATGAATCTTTTATGATAAATCTGTCACCTGTGCACCACTCCAGCCTGGGGCTTGCCTTTTATTTTCTTAGTATCTCTGAAGAGCAAAGATCTTTATAAAGCCCAATGCAGTGACATTTTGTTTTACGGCTCGGGCCTTCTGTGCTGGCTGAACATCTGGATTTGAAAGTTTTGTCTTGCACCCAATGTGGGAAGCTGTTGGCTATAACTTCTCCAAATATTTCTTTCCTGCTCCATTCTTTCTCCTATTCTGGGACTCGTAGAATCTGAACACTACACCTTCTGACGCTGTACCAGTAGGTCCTGAAGCTTTGCGTAATTTTTCTTCTCCTCAATCCTTTTGGTCTTTGTATTTCAGAGTGGCTAATAAAAAAATAATTATTTTCATTTTATTTGAAAGGCAGAGACAGACACAGTAAGTTCTTCCATTTGCTGGTTTACTCCCCAAATGGCCTGGAATTCCATGCTGGCCTCCCACACGGGTGGCAGCGGGCCTCTTCCCAGGAAGCTGGACGGGCAGTGGGGGTGGGACTGGAACTCAGGGACTCTTAGAGACGAGGGCGTCCCAAGCTGTGCTGACGGCTGTGCCCGTGCTGGCCCCGCAGTGAGTAATTCCTGTCGCCATCCCCACGTTCCCTCACGCACCATTTTCTCTGATCCCCATTCTGCTTGGCTCATCCAGGGCATTTTTAAATTTCATTTTTTTTTTTTTTTCAGTTCTGAAACTGACATGTGACTTCCTTGTATGTTGTTCCTTCCCGGAGCACTGGGACCACAGCGGGTTTCCCGTCTGAGGGTGAGCATTCCCGCACCTGTGGCATGATGGGGTGGGGAGCCAGGGCTGCGTTCTTCCCTCCGCAGGATGCCGAGTCTCTGACTTTCACCGGCAATCTGAGCTCTCTGCTGCCTGCTCCGGGCACTGACTCTCGGCTCCGTTCAATTCTTGAAGCTTTGGCTGCCCCCCCCCCCCCCCCACCGCCGTTCTGCTCCCGGGTGCCATGGGGTCCACCAGAGATTGGTGTGAAGTTCTTAAGAAAAACCAGAGGGTTCTGGGCCCAGCCCGGCTCCCCACCCTCCAGGGAACTGCACTCCTTTGTTTCCCTAACAGATGGGGTTCTCAGAAAAACTCGATGCATCCCCATGTGTCTCAGGTTTGCCCCGAGGGCGACACAGATGTGTGTTTGGGGGGCAGGGACAAGAACTCACGTGCATGCCAATGCATCAGGAGGAAAGTCTTCTATTTTACACACACACACACACACACACACACACAGGAGCTCTCCAGTGGAATGAGACAATATCGCAGGAAGCCTCCTGTTAAAGAGGAAAACTCAGCACTACCTGCAAAGCACTCTCTCCCGTGTGTGTGACCCTAGCCCCTAGCAGTGGTCCCTGGTGTCTATCACAGACAGCTTCCACTAAAACTTGCTCCACACGCTGTGCCCAGGCCTTCTCCCGCCCCCTCCCCCTCTCTCGGCTGAACACAGCACTGCTGCTCCACTCTGTGCCTACACAGGGCCGGGCTGTGCGCACTTGGGGACTGAGTATTAAGAGTTCGAGTGAAGGCAGACGGAGTTTCTGCTGCATTACCATAAGATATTCAAGCATGTCAACTCTCATACTAAACTGTATTACACAGTGACGTACGCTGCTATACCCTTGGCAGGCTTATAAAGTAAATGGGCCCAGTGAGCGCCAGGCATACCATGAGCCTCTGCCTGGTCCATCAGCAGTGATGAGCTCATCGTGCCGAAAATCACAGGACAGGACATTCTGTTAGCAACACAAAGTTCCCTAGATTGCCCCCATTTTCCCCAGCCTTGGGAGAAACTTGACTGCAAACGTGAGATAAACTTACTCACTGTAGAAAGCGACATAAACGAAGCTGTGATCGCCCCGCCCCATTTGTCTTTTTTTTTTTAAGAAAAAATTTTTTTATTTATTTATTTGACAGATAGAGTCAGACAGTGAGAGAGAGAGAAAGGTCTTCCTTCCATTGGTTCACTCCCCAAATGGCTGCTACAGCCAGAACTGCGCCGATCTGAAGTCAGGAGCCAGGTGCTTCTCCTGGTTTCCCATGCCGATGCAGGGCCCAAGCACTTGGGCCACCCTCCACTGCACTCCTGGGCCACAGCAGAGAGCTGGCCTGGAAGAGGAGCAGCCAGGACTAGAACCCGGTGCCCATATGGATGCTGGCGCTGCAGGCGGAGGATTAACCTAGTGCGCCACAGCACTGGCCCCATCCCACCCCATTCGTAAGCTCGCCCTTCCTAGTCCTGACCATCCAGTTCAAGTCCCTTGTACCTCTTCCCCCCCACCTTTTTTTTTTCCCCCAATCAGAGACATCAAGGTGGCTGGGGGGAGGGTGGGGGTGGCGTCGGGAGAGACCGTTCATCTCCAGAGAGTCGTGGTGTCCTGTGCCCTGGGTGTGGAGCACCTTCCGGCAGAGAATGACCGTGGTGGGCAGACAGCATCCTGCTGCCGGCGATGGGTCAGCTCCATTTCTGAATCTCCCCCTACCCACCCTGCAGACCCAAAGGGCTGCCTGGGCACGCGTGGCCACTGCATCTCCTGCAGGGGGGAAGGGGCTCTAGGGCCTCAGCTGGGCCGCGCCAACTGCAGGGTGGGGTCCCAGAGCCTCAGGGAATGCTGGGTTCTTGCAGGGGTCAAAGGTGCTCCAGACGGCAACGTGCGGGGCTGTGGCCTGGGCTGGCACCACCCTCGCGCCCGGGAAAACACAGGGGCACGGGCTCTAGGGGTGGACCTTGGCCCTGAGATTCCACCTTCCCGGAGCCCAGCGATAAACACCCCAACCACAGCGCTCCTCACCAGAAAGCCTCTTGTTTTTCACAGTGGAAGGCACGGGTATTTTGCTTCGAATAGTGTTTGCTTAAAGACGAAGGACTCCTTAGGTGATGATCCATCCGCTGAGCGCCACGCACTCTTCCCAGAGAACATTTCTCACCTCTTCCTGAACTGCTCACCGGTGGGAGCCCGGCTGCTTAAAAACTGTTGGGGATTTCACATGCTTTCCTCTTCTTAGCCAGCGTCTTCTTGGGGGTGCCCTGAGCCAGCTCTTTCACCCTCGAGGTTCTGGGAGGAGGAGGGAGGGATGAGTAACACACACTGTGCTTCCATCACGTCCACGGTTCCCACAGAGCAACTCGGCAGAGAGGGTGCCAGTGCCCACGTGTTCCTGAGCTGAGTGGTCCTGGTTCCCAAATGGGGGGGGGGGCTGATTCCCCAGGTACGCTCCTCCTTGGAGTCTTCTACCCATACACGTCACCAAGAGACACAAACACAAAGCAAGAACGCGGCAAGAGCCTCAAGGAAGCCCATTTTAGTGCTGCACAGTGTTAATTTTCTTGTGCGGCGCACCGATGAGCTCTGAGTGTCATTCATCTGCAGAGTCATTAACTTCAATGCTTTTGTTCCCTATGAATTTACAGACCCAATTCTCTCTCTGCTTAAGCTGTGCTGTGGCAAGGGATGCTTCCCAACACAGTCTTTGGGCGCAGCAGACGTTGCAGGTCTCTGGTCCCTAGGCAGTTTTAACTCCAGTTTAGGATGACTGAGCTGTTGCAGTAACACTGGATTTTTTTTTTTTTTTCTGGGAGGATTTCAAGGACTGGAATCACTCGTCCACCAGGACAACCGCTGGGAAAGACCACGTGGATGGATTCACGCTGCAGCCAGGAGCTGCTGGGCAGGTGTGGCTGAACTGACTATGTACAAACAATGCCGATTTTAAACTACCCATCCTCGCTGGCAAGGGACGTGGCACTGGCTTGCGTCTCAAGGAATCCAGCGCCAGTTTCAGTGATATAGCCGGAATCATGTGCTTGTGTCTCCAGGCATCTCTGCTTTGTGACTCCCAAGAACTCTGCGTGGATTTTGACTTTTTCTGGAGGAGGCTCCCCCAAGGAGGGGCACTGGTATCCCGCAAGGAGACCCGTCTGGGACGCTCCCCGGCACTGGCTTAGGCACGCGGAGGGAGCTGCCCATGCTGTCGGGGACTTCCTGGGTGGACTCGGTGCCGTGGTTCTGCTGCCTTCGGTCCAGCTCTGTCTCTACTCTGTTCCTTCCCGTGTCAGGGGTAATCTAAGTGCTGGGATGTGACGGGGAGGGCTGGCTCCTGGGCTCCTTGTTAAAGGACGTGTTCTGGGCCCTGGCAGAGGAGGGCGCTGCTACTCCTGCCAGGGGGGGAAGGGAGCGACCTGTGTTTGGCCCAGCATCTGGGAGTCGGGCGATCTGACGTGCTTAGGGAATGATCGTGGGTCACCCATGGGCATCAAGGTGGGTCTGGGGTGGCCAGGCAGCCACAGATCGTGGGTGGCAAGCAAAGAACAGCAGAGTGGAGAAACACAGCATTAGGTAAATTTATTCAAACACCCAGGCAGAGACAGCCTGACAGCATTTTCCTAAAAAACACCTGCTCCTGGGTGCCCTCCTGGCTTCACAGAGGGCGGGCGGTGCTGTTTCGAATGGGTCTGAGGACCCAGTTCTCTGCTGATGCCGCACGACAGGAAATGAAAACCTGCCCAGGCTGCTTTTAGATTCCAGGAAGGGGCCGCGGGCACTGGTGTACCTGGCAAAACACGGAACCATGTTAGAGAGGCGCACGCAGCTCACACGTGGCCGTCATTTCTTCTTCAACAGATCCATGAGCTCGTCTCCTATCCCCTTCTCGCTCAGCTCGTCCAGACTGCGGTATTGGTGAACCACGCTCTCTGCGGTGACCACCACGACCCGGAGCCCGTGGGTGTCCCTGCCCAGCTGGCAGCCGATGGCCGACGACACCACCATGTCCAGGTCCCGGTAGGTGCCCCCGGCGTTCCTGTGGTAGTGGCCGGCGAACACGGCTGTGATGCCTGTGGGCAAGGGGAAAGACGTTAGGGGCCGGGGCTTTGCATCTGGGTTAACCTGGGGGTCTCCGTGTTTCGTTCCAGGAACAGACACGGACTACTGCGTTCAGTGGGTGATATTATCCTGTGTGCAACAAAAAGAGGCGATGTGTGTGACATCTAGAATATTCTCCAAGATAACTCATATATTAGGAGTCTTCAAATGTTTGTAGAAAATGCGTATACAAAAACTTTTTGCACAAAAATAAACTTTTTTTTTAATTTGAGACACACACACACACACACACACACACACACACAGACTGAGCAAGCGAGACAGAGACAGCCAGTGAGTGTCCCTCTGCTGGTTCATTCCCCCCATGGATGCGATAGCCGGGGCCGAGAAGCCCAGCGGGAGTCACGTGGCTAAAGAATTAGAAAACATTAGAACGCAAGAGATTTTGGTTATTTGTTACATTTGCTGTAATACCATTGTCCCCAGGGATTCGTGGGAATTCTTTTCGCATCTAGCTCATGCACTCCCTCCTGCACACTTTACATCATCTCTGGATGGCTCTGCAAACAGCTGCCAGACTGTACTGTTTAGCCAATAATGACAAGAAACAAGTCTGTACGTGTTCGGTACGGATGCAATTAAAAATATGTTTGATCCACAGTTGACTGAGTACAAGCTGAAGTGATGAGTTTATGAAATTTTAAAGAAATAAGTGCTCACAAAATTCCTTACGATTTAATAACGGCTTATACTTGAGAAGGGTAGATCCTGTGATATGGGAATTACAGTTCTGAAAAAAAAAAAAAAAGGAACTGCAGATAAGGAAAGACTACTGCATATGCATCTTAAAAAGATACATGGGCCGGCATGGTGGTGTGGTGGGATAACCCGCAGCCTGGGATGCCAGCGTCCCATAGCCGAACACCAGTTCAAGTCGTGGCTGCTCCACTTCTGATCCAGCTCCCTGCTAAAGAGCCTGGGAAAGCAGTGGAAGATGGTCCAAGAAGTTGGGCCCCCGGCAACCATATGGGAGACATGGATGAAACTCCTGGCTAGGAAGAAAGCAGACAGAAGCATCCAGGAACCCAGAAACATTTTCCCAGTGTTACCAGGGGGCTCCACATTCCCACTACAAGGCTTGGTTCTGCACAGAGGTGGTGCAGGCGTAACCAGAACCACTAGGCAGGGAGAAGTCACTCAGGAGACAAAGACTGAAGGCAGAAGAAAAACAAGAATTCGCCCTTATTCCAACTGCTGTCACAAATCCTGCTCTCCATGAAGACATCTCACACTAGGTAAGACAGTCTATAAGCTCTCGAGTCAGGACCAGGAATCCACTGCAGATGAAGCTAATCAGAGCAGTATTTAAAATAAGCAGGTGTATGGTGTCCAACAGTCCTGAGAGAGGACTAATGCCATGAAGAAGGAGACTTCACGGAAGAGAACAGGAGGATGATGAATGAGAACAGCAGGTGATGAACATTTAGAAACGGGGAACAAACAAGATACATTGTTAGGATTTAAAATAAAAACCATTTCAATACATGGGATAAGTCCTAGACTGAACCCTAATCAATGAGGACACCAGGGAATACAGATTTGAGGGAGCTGACGCTGTGGAGTAGCAGGTTAAGCGGCTGCCTGTGACACCAGCATCCCATATCTGAGCTCCTGTTCGGGTCCTGGCTGCTCCAATTCCGATCTGGCTCCCTGCTAATGCACCTGGGAAAGCAGCAGCAGAAGTCTAGCCCCTGCCACCCACTTGAAGAGACCTGGATGAAGTTCTAAGCTCCTGGCTTCAGCCAGGCACAGCCCTGGCCATTGCAGCCATTTGCAGAGGTAACTGGCAGGTGGATGATCTCTGTCTTTCCCTCTCTCTTCTTGTAATTTGCCTTTCAAATTCATTAATTAAACAAAAAAAGAAAAACCACAGTGAGAACCATTGCAAGCCCACTAGGATGGGTCTAATAAGACAGGCGGGAAGTAGCAGGTGTTCACAGGGCTTTGGGAATGAGATCCCTTGGGCAGGGCTGGGGGGACTGGGGCAGCTCTTTTGGAGAGCCCTTGGGAAGCACATGGTCATCACAGCCCACCCCTTCCTCTCCTAAGTACTCCAGAAATCTTCAGAAAGTTCATGGAAAACGCCTGTCATGGGGATAAAGACTAACTATCCACGGATCTCAACATTCTTTGGCACCAACAAGAAACTTATCTTACTTATCTTTCAGTTCCATTTCCCATGAACTTTTGAGGTACCCTTGTATACTCAAGAGAAAGGAAAGCATATGTCTATGCAAAACCTTGCACATGAATGTTTACAACACACACAGTGTTCACTGTGGTCTAGAAAGTGGAAACAGCCCAAATGCCCGTCAGTGGCTGGTGGATAAGCAAACTGTGGCCTGTCCACACCGCGGCACAGTATCCAGCCATACCAAGGGATGGCATCTAGTAGGATGTAGCAGGCACTGATGCCTCCTACAGTGTGGATGAACCTGGAAACCACCATACACATGGAAGACACAGAAGGCCACAGAATGTAGGATTCCACTTACAGGGACTGTGCAGAATATGCAAATCTGCAGACACAAAGTGGATCACCGGCTGCCAGGGGCAGGGGGAGTGGGATACGGAGGGAGAGGGAGCGAGCACTCATGGTTTCTTTGTAAAGATGAGAGAAAATGGTCTGTGGTTACTGGTGATGGCTGCACAGCCTTGTGGATGTATTAAACCCATGGGGGCTTATACTTGAGAAGGGTAGATCCTGTGATATGGGAATTACAGTTCTGAAAAAAAAATGGAATGCAGATAAGGAAAGACTACTGCATATGCATTTTAAAAAGATACATGGGCCGGCATGGTGGTGTGGTGGGATAACCCGCAGCCTGGGATTCCAGCATCCCATAGCCGAACACCAGTTCAAGTCGTGGCTGCTGCTCTACTTCTGATCCAGCTCCCTGCTAAAGAGCCTGGGAAAGCAGTGGAAGATGGTCCAAGAAGTTGGGCCCCCGGCAACCATATGGGAGACCTGGATGAAGCTCCTGGCTCCGGACTGGCCCAGGCCCAGCCACTGTGGCCACCTGGGGAGTGAATCAGCAAATGGAAGATCTTTCTCTGTCTCTCCCTCTCTGAGTAAGTCTCCTTTCAAATAAATAGATGAGCCTTTAACAAAGAGGCAGATTAGCATGTGCTGGCCTCGAGGGGTATTGTAGAATTTAAGAAGGAAGAGTGAACTGCGTTGTGTGATGTGCGTTTGTAACACAAGGTGAGGCACCTGTAAAAGCTTGTGCGGCTTGGGCATCACTGGGGACTTCCCGGGGGCGGGATCCGCAGGGCAGAAGTGTTCTCCCCCTTCGTGATTGATTGCCATCGTGCGATGTCTACAATGATCAAGACTCGACTGGATGATGGGGATCCAGCATCAAGGAGACGAGAACAGGTGGACAGAGGAGGGGTGAGAGGGGCACAGGTGCCACCCCACCAGGGTTCCCGCTGTGGGTTCAGAGGCCCGAGGGCCTCGTTGCACAGGCAGAGCTGAGCAGCTCCGGCTCATGCACGCTGGGGTGGGGCGTGGAGCCCACTGCCGCCGCCTCCGTGCTCCAGGGCCTCCCATCCTGTGAGATGCTGACGGGAGTGTGTGAGGTGACAGCTCTGGGCATCCTCGTTCCCTGTGCTAAACCACGCTGAGGCGACTTGCCTCTTTATGTCTCTCCCGCAGCCGCAGACTACTCCTGCGGAGGTGATGCCTGGCAATTTTGCAAGCAGCTCGCATTAGCTGTGTGCGCAGTCAAAACTCAATTTACAGTTTGTGCTGCATTCACTGGCATTCGCAGAGATGGGAGCCCTCACGGCGATGGCCTGGCTGCCTGCGGGCCAGCACGTTCGGCGCCGTGTGGATCCCAAGGGAGGGCAGACACCTCCTACAACCCACCATGTCCCCGCCTTCTTCCCCCAGGGCCTGTGGGGTACAGCTAAGATTCTTAGGGTGGCCAAAAGTGGACCAGAAATCAAGACTGCTAGGGGTTGGCGTTGTGGTGCGACGGGTTAAGCTGTTGTGTGTGACAGCAGCAACCTGTATGGAATCGAGCCCCGAACGCTCCACTTCCCATCCAGCTCTCTGCTAATGCACCTGGGAAAACAGAGGCCCAAGTGCTCGGGCCCCTGCACCCACAGGGGAGACCGGGACAAAGCTCCTGGCTCCCGCCTGGCCTGGTCTCAGTAGTTGCAGCATTTGGGAAGTGAACCAGTGGATGGAAGATTTCTCTCTCTGTCTCTCCCTCTTTCTCTGTAACTCTGCCTTTCAAATAAACAAATAAATATGTATTTTTAAGAGTCTGCCAGTTGGCCGGTGCCACGGCTCACTAGGCTAATCCTCCGCCTTGCGGCGCCGGCACACCGGATTCTGTCCCGGTTGCCCCTCTTCCAGGCCAGCTCTCTGCTGTGGCCAGGGAGTGCAGTGGAGGATGGCCCAAGTGCTTGGGCCCTGCACCCCATGGGAGACCAGGAGAAGCACCTGGCTCCTGCCATCGGATCAGCGCGGTGCACCGGCCGCAGCGCACCGGCCGCGGCGGCCACTGGAGGGTGAACCAACGGCAAAGGAAGACCTTTCTCTCTGTCTCTCTCTCTCACTGTCCACTCTTCCTGTCAAAAAAAAAAAAAAAAAAAAAAAAAAGTCTGCCAGCAAGCAAAGCAACTTGACATTCTGAGTCCTGGAGAAGACATCGTGCAAAGATCCTATGACACTTGACGCAGAGATGGCCCAGCAGGAGCGGGGGGAATTCCAGGCTCTTGCATGGTGGTGCTGGGGGGGTGGGGCAGAGGGGGCTCCTGGTTGGCTTGGTGAAAACTGAGACACTAGGGCTGAAACACTGAGTGGGAGATGCAGGAGCCACTTTTTAGGGCGCCGAGATCCCGACGCAGAGCGGAGAAAGCCTGGTAAAGTAACTGGCAATGGAGTTTCTGAGTCCACTGCTAACACCCAGGAAAGCCCAGGAGTCTTGAACCCTGAACA